AATTTGTCTTCATGCGTCGTCCCTCTGCAGAAGCAAAGAGCAGTGCCTTTGAAAAGAGTCGTCCTCCCCCACTCCCTCCCATGCTTTCACTTTACCCATGCTCCCACATCTTGGCTCTAAGTGGGGTCGCGGTCGAGGTAGCGTAGTGATGCTTTTCATTAGCTAAGTGCAACTGGGGGAGAGGAGCACAGAGCCTTGATTTACTGGGCGTGCTGTCTATAAGCACGGACACACACACATACATACATACACACTCACAGAAACACCTCCTCTCCTCTACCTCCATCCTTGGCTCTTAGACTGCTCACTCTATCCCTTCATCTCCCTTTTTTCTGTCCATTTCCCTACCCTCTCTTTTTCAGTCTTTGCCTTTCTGTCTTGCTACATAACTCGCCATTCCATTTTCTCTCTCTGGCCTCTCCTGGGACTTTCCTGTTAACACGACACAGAGCACAGGGCTGGTGATTTTTCAGTTTTCAGTTGGGTTGTCTTATGGATGGCTGCTGTTTTTTAGAGTTGGCTTTTATTAAAGTTCATCCCAAGTGTCCGCGACTGGGCGTTTGCTTATTTTGACAGCTATATGGCTATATGGATATCCACATGACAGTGTTTGATTTTCATCCAAATCATCTTTTACTTTGGTAGACGCCTGCGTCGAAAAAAAGCTGAATTACTTTGGTGTTTATCCAAATATGGGGTCTTGCTGCACATACTGTGTCAATAAAGATTGCAGCGCTTTATTTTTCTTATATTTTGTTTTATTTATTCAAAAACTATCCCAAATCCGCAGCTTATTTCTGAAATAGAAGGGTGCCCTGTTATAGAAAATGAAACTTAATTTGAATAAACGTCAGCAGGAAAGATGTTGAAAACCAGATATTCGAAATCGGTCATGGATGGTTAAGAAACTGATGTCTTTCATTAGTGAATTGGCTTGCTGATTTCATGCCTGTTAGTGAACTTTACCAATTTAACTTGTGGAAAAAAAAGTCTTAAAATGGGACCCAAATGTGCGTGATCCCATAAAACATTGTAGGGTCATTTCCATTGTGGAAGGCACTTCATAAGTGTGATCCCTGGTTTCTCTTTGTTGAATACTTGCCATTTAAGCTGCCAGGGCCCCCTTACCCCCCTTATTTAAAAAGGCTCAATCCCAGATGCTATATGGCATCTGTCCAAGAAACATATGCACTCCTGTTGTGGCGGGAATCACTGTGGGCCAGTGTGCATGTTTGTTCACATGTGTATGTGCAAACTTGTGGTTGTATGTTTTTCCCTCCTTTTTTATCCTACCCCCATCCATCATAGTTTGAAAGGACACGTTGACCCCAGTTGCCGTGGCACCCTGGTTACCATGTCTCCTGCCCATGACACAGCTGGTTGTGTCCGATTGGCTTAGCCGCCGGCTTTCTGCCAGGTCATCTTTAACATCAGGGCTGTAGAGTGGCACCAAGGTGCTTCAACAGCTATTTATAACCCCAGCTAGGTCCAGCCTGCAATAAAATGTCCATCTTTGCCAGTTATTTAGTCTCATTTCTGGTCTGAAAATATGTTCCTTTCACCCAGAATGATGAGTTTACCTGTGTTTATCTTTTATAGCATTTACAACGAAATAACTCGAGACATCTTTGATTATTTTGAAACGAGTCTGACCGCCAAGGTGAGAAAAAAGACAACTAGAACGTTTGTTCTCAGAAACCTATCAAGATTAGCAATAGTTTACATGTTCTCCAAATGCATGGATTCCCTCAGGGTACCCTAGGCTCTGAACAGGATAAGCAGTAGAGATAACGGGTGGATGGATGAATAAAGAATCCTTCTAAGTAACTTTTCATGGTCGTATCATGAGCCACTATATTCACCAAGTTATGAAAGAATAGTAAGATTGATGGCAGAGCGGTTGCTAGTTAAGTGATTCTAACGGAATTATCTGCATTTGGTTGCATATTGTTTGTGAGGAGCTACCTGTTATAACACCCTGTGCTGGGCACTGTGCAGCCAAGGTCAGCCATTGGAGATTCCTCTCAGGAGCTTAAAGGGAGTGTGTCACGGTGTGACAAAAGCCATTAAGATTTAGGGAGATAGTGTGGGGGGGGGGGGGGGGGGGGGGAACGCTGAGAAATACATTTTTGTAAGAGCTTTGAGACAAATTGACTGCGGCACAGGGAGCTTCAGAGAGTTACCAGAAAAATGAGCTCAAAGGCAACGCAGCACAAGGATTACACAACTGTCTTTCATCAGTGAGCCTCATCACACCTGGAGTCCTTTGTACTTGAAGTGTTGCATGCTGTAACAGTAGTCATTAAAATTAGTTTCGGTAGTAGAGGGACTTGTTGTAGTAATTGTTGTCTTGTGCACAAACTGAAGTTAGTCATAAGAAACCAGTGTCTGTGTATACGTACAGGGGTAAATGTGCAACACATTGTAGAGAACTATGGATCTAACAAACTGATTGGTGCATCCAATGTTCGATCAGGGGATGGTATCAAAAGCATTGACTGCTGTTAAGAAGTGGACGTAGCTAATTTTAGAGGCCTTGGGGGTGGCATTTTGTTGGAGCCATAAGAGGCATTATGTGGATGAGAGGAGTATATGTTTACTTCGGTATTCACCTATTGGGACCACAAGAAGAAGACTAGCAAATGAGACCCTAAACCCAATGGGGAAATGTTTACCACCTGCTTCCACACAATTGAACTCCTTTTTGCAACTAATGACGTTACCCCCCCCCCATTGCTCTTTAAACATAATGTAGCTCAAGTAACTTTCTCTTTGGCCTAATGTCCTTAATTCTAAAATAATTCTTAAATAGAGTCAAGAGAGCCATGTTATGCAACGTGAGCTAAGAGTATGAAATGGCTGCGATATACATGATTTGTTGTTGCTTTGGGCAGTTTTCAAAAGACTGATACCTTACTTTGAGCTACAGATATTAATGGAATATGTTAAATTGTGAAACATTTGAAGGCTTGGCTGGCATTTATTTTCTCGTTTGGTATAGTAATTGGTGCAAAGTATTTGGGGGTAACGTAACTGTTGCACTGCAGAATATTGATATTGACGAAAGTGGAAGAACACTAGTTTCTTGGCAGTGAGGTATGATTTACCAAATGTGAGCTTGTAGAATTCGATCTTAATGAGCTGCACATTTGCAAGTACCTTCCCATTTTTGGCATAAATATTTCCAAAGGACAAATAATGCCAAATCAAACTGATTCATGGGATTGGTTAAATCAGTGTCAATTATTCCTGCTGGGACTGTTGAGGTTCATTCACCCATTCAAGGTGAAGTCTGACACAAGGCGTCTGTAAAATACTCTTTCAATAATGAGCGTTAAGATTTATTGTCCTGTGGAGCCCAACCCTAGACCTGCACAGCTGCACAAATACACAGAGGAAATGACATCATCATTATGGCGAAACAAGGTAGTTGTTCACACAGAAAGGGTGGTGGGAAAAAAGGGATCAGAAGAGGAGTGTGAGGAGTTTTTGCAGAGAGCAACAAAAACAAAACGGTCAGAAGATAATACAAAGAGTTATATTCCTTAAGTTATTTGACCTTTAAATTGGGAAAATAGTAGAAAGCCAACCCGCACAGCTCCATTTAGCCTCCAATCAGACCTTGAACTGTTTCATAAACGACGGAAACGATTACCAAAATAACCGCGACACTTTGAAGCATCTGATTTAAAGTTGAGCTGCTTCAGAGTTACAGCATCTTCAAAGAGAATCCCAGTGACCCAGTTAAATAATTCTTGGATGCAGTTTGTGTGCTCTAGGTTAAACTAATCAAATCAACAGTAATGTGTGTGAGTATTGTGCAGCTGGTTTGGAGGAAAGATCCGGTTTGAGCATAGCGTTGCTTTCAGAGCGTTGTAAATGTCAGCACATGTCAGGAATTCATGAGACAAGTCTTGGAATTCACTCTTTGGGGGATCCTCCTCGTTGTTATATTATTTCCAATGAGCAGCACGAACACATCAACTGCAAATCCAACCGAGTCATCATCATCTTCATTTTCTTTGCCTTTAAAATAGGGAGACATGCACCGTTCCTTCATCACTGTTCTTATAAGAGTTTGGTGCAGTTTTGTAGAGCTGTTGTGTCCTCAGGCTGCTCTGGGAAATGTTCTAACACCCTGAGAACGCACACATATACACATGCATACAGTATATTATGAACACACACACGTACACACTCTGATACACACACATAAGCGTGCATCATTCCTAGAGTTTCTGAGGTTGTTAACTGCTGTGAGGCTTTCTCTCTCTCCCTCTCTCTCTCTCTCTCTCACTCTCTCTCTCTTTCATCATTAATTAGTCATTTAATTAGAGAACTTCAAAGTGAAAGCATCCCCTGCTGGTGGGCGGGACCTGTCAGAGTGTGTGTGCATAAAGATGCATGCAAACACTATGTCGCACAATAATGTCTGTTGGGAAATTGTGTTAATGCGACAACTTTTGGGCCCGAAAAAACTTTTTTGGTGTGGAAAAACTTAATGATAGAACAATGTTTCACTTCCATTCTGTTGCCATACTTAGATATTTATCTTGGAAATAATGCTCAAGATGGATTTAGCATGGTTGCCGGACATGTTAGCCAATTGTTTTAGACTGGACCATACAGTTTCATCAAGAAATGTAATGTTCAGTACCAGAGAACAGCAAAACTATGTCCATTACACTCTCACAAAAACTTGTTTTGTCCAACAAACTGTCAAAAAGAGCTGTTCATTTTCCCCATGTGTAGACGTAAATCATCCAAGCCAAAGCTCAAAGAAAGACAAAAGAAAAACACTTCATATAAAAGAAACAAGTGAACCCGTCAACTGAAAATAAATGCCCTCAAAGGCCATCAAAGACTTCAAACCTCCTTCACAGACGGATGTATCATTGCTGAATATCAAATGTGTTTCTATTGGCCACAGACCTGCTGGCCTCCATCCAAACTGATCTTTCTCTCCCTTCCTCTCTCTCTCTCTCTCTCTCCCACCTCAGCCCGACGAGCTGGAGGGCGTCCACACACACACCTTCAAGCTGAAGCCATTCAAGAAGGCCAAGAGCTGTGATATATGCAAGCAGGCCATCACCAAGGAGGGCCTCATCTGCAAAGGTTCGAAGACTTCAACTATGCACTTTGTTATACTTCAAAAAAAAATCCCCAAAACACAGATTGCCATTTGTATCGTTTCCCTTTTTCTTTAATGGCACTTGTCAACAAATTGTGTTAATGCTTTCAAAAGGTGTGATTTCACTCTGTGCCGCTTATTTTCTGTTACTCTTCCCTCCGTTTTTTATGCTGAGCTAGGCTAAAAAAAAATCTCCTGCACAGACATGGAATCGATCGCAAAAATCTGGTGTTGATCAAACACTTTGAGAGCACTGCCAGTTTAAAGTCTGGCTGCAGACACAAAAAGTCTGACAGTATCATTATTTAGCCCAGAATACAATATTTTTCAGTTTACAATGAATCATGTCAATGAGGGATTTTGCTTTGACTTTGCAAATATCAGGTTTTTGGTCAGATTTACATTTCTTTGCGCATCCTGCGTCATCAGTATGTTAGTCTGTGCATCCATCTTCCTGTTTATGTCTACTTGAGTTTGAACTTCCCCTTTCTTCCCCCCCTCCCTTTATGCCCCTGCCTCCCCATCTTTCTCAAGTCACATGTTTTTCATTCTAATTTTAGAACAACTAAAGATTTTACTGTGACTCCAGGAACAGTCCAGGGGAAATTAACGTTAGAGGTCTCCCTGGCAGCCTCACGTTATCCCTTTTTTCCCTGCCTTTCTTGTCTTCCTTCCTCCATCTTCCACCCGCTCTATCTCTTTTTCCCTTTTTTTGAACTACAAACACAGTTGACAAACATTCAAAAGCCCGGCAGGAGCAAAGCGGGGCCTGTGTATAAGGGCTTTGGCTGAGGATTTTGCTGTTAAAATTAGCATGGCTGCTGCTGCTGCTGCTGCTGCATTAGCCTAGATAAGAGGGGAAAAAAGGGAAAGGGGGTGAGGGGTAGGGGGGGTAGAGCGAGGAAGAATAAAGACAGGGAGAAATTGGGGTAGAGGGGGATTGGGAGAACGACATGGAAAACAAAGGAAAGAGAGAGCAAAGGGGGGCACAGGAGAATTACTTTCCCTTTCATCCTTCTTTTTGTTCATTTATCCTCCATGTTTAAACACAGCGAGCTCTCCATGCTCAAAAAATGCCTACAACGGCAGCTTTATGTGCACAAAAAAACTGGTTCAATCAGCAAAAAAAATACATCTGTGCTACTTTTTCCAATTATTGTACTCTACTTTGGGTTTTACAAAAAAACATAATGACACATGTTAATGGAAGCGTCTTTTCCACTCCAGATAAAAGACCATGTTGACGGAGGGCTTGTGGCCAAGAGATAAGACGTGACAATAAGACCGTGTGCCATGGAATCTGTTCACATGTTTAGAAGGAACATACCCTGACTCACTGAGATTGTATTGTTATCTTATTTACTGTTTGGGGGAATACGTTCACGGCCGCCAAGGAAGCAACGTGCCATAATAACTATAAAATGACGGATTTCTCTGGATTTGATAACTGTTGGAAATATTAGAGGTGATGTAAGTACTACTAAGGTTTAGTCCTTTTTTAAACTGATATTTTATTGTAAACATTCGACACATTACACTTTTAAAGCCAGCAAAACTTACCCAGTTCAGAAAAATTGCCAAAATCACTTCAGATGACAGGCAACATTTGGAAGGGAAAGATCCAGAGTTTCTCTTCTATCAAGCTATAATGAAAAGACAGAGATAAAAAATGAAGGAAATAGTTTCAATAAAAACATCAGACGAGACATTTCGACGACAAACTCTGAGACCGTCAGTGAAGGAATCTGTCATTTCAGCTTTGGTCAGCAGTGTGTTCACGTCAAAGCTGTCCAAAGTGCTTCAGAGCTTTTTTTTCTTCCTCCTTCGGACACAAAATCACCTGCAGGATATCAAAACTGACAAACGTATCCCCTAGACTGAATGTGTCTGTAGGTGGTTCACTTGGTCTGTTCATGTGTTCCTCTTGTTGTTCTCTTCGATGGAGCAGTGTGAGGATGGAGTTGTGCCTCCTGTGGATAAGTAGGGCTCATTAAACAAGTGTTAAAAAAAAAAACCTCATGATGATAATGATTCCCTCTGGTGCCTGCATGCATCAGCTGCAGATTTTCCAAGATATTACTTAGCAAGGGGAATTTGTTTAAGGAGACTTGTGGAACAAAAAATCAGCACAGAAACAAAAAGGAACAGCGAGAATACAACTGTGCTCAAATCTATTGAAGCATTTCTGGACACGGATTTAAAGGTATAGTTGTTATTTTGCGGGCCTTTATTGGATAGGACAGTGTAAGACAGACTGTTGGGAGGAGAGGGTGGTTTATGCCGGTTGGATTCAAAAAACGAAGCTGCTGCGACGAGGACTTTTTAGCCTCTGTACATGGGGCGCGCGACATTACCAACGAAAGCCATCAGCACCCCATGATGCAGATTTGGAGGATGTAAATATGCAGGCTTCATCAGTTCTGTCCTCAAGAGGAGAAGAGAGGACGAGAGTTTGGCCAGCTGCCCCTCTGACTGGATGACAAATATTCACTTTACATTTACGCTCTCCAAATAATCACCAATCAGCGTTTCACACCCAAAGAATCCATTTATCACCGTGAGGTTGACCTCAATTAACCATTGCAGACCACCGGGAACACTCCTGCACCCTCAGCCTCGTTCACTTGTTCTGCTCACACACACACACACACATCTGCACGCTCGCAACGACCACCTGGGGACCACCTAGGTTGACAGCGAGGCAGCAGGTGTTGGGAGGTTAAAGGTTGTACCAGCCCAGACATCAAAACATGGCTATTTCACGCCTGGAGCTCGATGTATTTTTTTTTTTCTCCTTTTCTTCCGCATTTAATCGAAACAAAAGCATCTCCAGGAAGCAGCCAATCATACTTTTGGCTCACTTTTCCATTTTTTCATCTTTTTTAATCAGTGTTTTGACTATTTTAACACCCTTAATATAAAGTTTTTCGTCAAAGCTTTTAATCGTCTGAATAAAACGAGATGCAAGACAAACGTACCAGTGCATGGTTGTTTGCTCTGTGCGGCCACTTGGGGGCAGCATCACAGCATGTTTATGTCAGGATCAAAGCTGACCTTGTTTTTCGTTTCAGCTCGTTCAGCAGCAAACACTGTCATTCTTGAGATTAAAGACTGAATACATCACAATGTTTTTTTTTTTCTCCCCCCTCTGTGTCTGCTCCTGTCTGTTTGAATGAGACTTTTTTTGAAAATGCTAACTCTGCCTCTTTTCTCTCCAGCGTGCCGGCTGTCCTGCCATAAAAAATGTGAAGTGAAGGTAAGACACGCAGCATCTTCTACTCCCTCCTCCTACTCTCATTACTTATGCACACTCACATGCAAACGTGTGACCGTCAACCCTCTCACGCATATGATACATATTTCAGGGACGGCTCACATTCACATTCGTGACACATCTCAACATCCAGTACTGACACTAATGTGACAGTCTCGACATACAAACATTGAAATAGATGTTTCTGTTTTCATTTTCTTCAGTTATATGACATTTAAAGAGAAAATGACAGCACAGAGTGAAAAACCAACATATCAAAAACGACACCCGGATAGTAACAGGGACTGTCTTAAATTGGGACAGGCTTTTATTTGAAGTTTTACAGTACATAAATCCCAGCTGATCAATGTCTGATCCATATTATATTATAAGTGTATGAATGGCAACCAGGTATTGAAAATGAATGTGCCTACATACAGACAGATCTGTGCGTACATGCACATACATCTAAATTCATATATTAGTTCATATGCACATCTGTAAATATCCAAACTTAAAGGGAAATTACTAACACACTTAAAACCTTAATTTAATTCAACCAGATGATCATTAAAGGTGTCAGAAGTTGTGTACCTCAACCATTTCCAACCAACTTTCTTCAAAAATATGAACCTGATTTGTAATACTCATGGATCATTTTTCCATTCCTTATATTTCATTTACAAGATCTTACATTTAGAGAGAGTTAAGTTTTCATCTTTTCACCAACACTTGGTTATTTGTTGAGTAATTGCTGCTGCTCTTATAGCCAAAATCAAGCGAAAATATTTCTTCTTTATCTCTTCAAGACCCAAATATATGACTGTAGTTTGCCATTTGCCCACCACATTGTCTCCAACATCTTGGTTAATAGATTTATGACTTTAAATGTGTTTGTTTTTTTACTTCTACAGTAGTTCAGTATTGGCCAATAGAAAAACTGATGCATTGTGTTTGTATATGGATGTGTTTAATCCCCATATGGGGTATATTATCTCACAATAGTTTTAGATAGCCCTGATCAATATTAATTATACTTTTGATGGATACGTGCGGGATAATTCATTGGCATGGACAGGTTATGATAGTTACGTCATACACGTTCATGTGTTAACCTAAAACCCATCTGGAATCTTACGTTAGGTAGATTCAGCTGAACCTCTTCATTAAGCAGTTCCTAAATCTCTCCTTAATTATCCTAGTTTGCAGCAGTTGTGTCTTTTTTTTAACACACCTTTTATAATTCCCATTGATACATTTGACTGTTCATATCCTGAGCTGCAGGATGCATGATAAGAAAATCCTGAAAACTGTCGAGGACGTCAAGCCATGCAATGCATAATCCCTGCTTCCTTCCATCAAATCACATATTCCAGAGTTCTACTTTCATATTCACACATTTGATCTCGATCCCAAGTGGAAACGGGAAGCATGCATGGGGAGAGTAAATGAAAAGGAAGGAAGGGAAGGAATGGATGACGGAGGGGTTGGGAAAGGGTGGAGGAGAAGAGCGTAACAAGGCTATTCTTAGTGGTTTTAGTTGTGACTGGTGGGGAGAAATCCTGAAATGTTTCTCCTCTGCAGTCTGCCTTCATTTTTTACCTCCCACCAAAAAAAACATCCATCTAACCAAATATTACTTTAGGGACAAACGCTGTGTGTTCCCAAAATGTCAGAGGACAAAATATTTCTTAAACCAGACGAAGCCATTTGTGGTGGCAATTGAGGATATAATCAGAAAATCCAGATTCATGAGTCATTCATTCTGGTGGTGACTGACATTGGACAGGAAATTATTTTGATGGAGCAAGAGGGAGAGAAACTGGTAAGAAAACTGTTTTATTTTGGTACCTTTAGATACAAAATTAGAGCTTCAGCACTGTTCTCCAATCCATGTTTGCCAACGTGTTTATTTGGTAATTGGTCCAAACATTTATGTTGGCTTGATCCCCTGAAAATGACCCTCCAATAAAAATAAACAGGACACAATATGGCTCCGACGTGCCCATTGTTTCAGGCTGTAAAAGTGCGGAAATGAAGACTTAGTGCAAATACAAGTGTGGATTTAGGCAGTCTGCGACGCCTTCTTCAGCTGACTCCATGCTGACCTCTAGCAATAAATTTGTCATGAAGCACAATGAGGTTCTAGCCAGTGGTTCACAGATCAACAGACATGAAGATAACCACTGTGCTGGACTGATTTCATTTTATGCGTTTATTACTCCAAATCCTGCAACTTCCCCTCGTAATGGTGAATAGTAAAATACACAGCTTTCAACATTGTAATGGTGGTGTTATTACCTTTTATGCAACGTCTTTGTGTTTTTATGGCATTTTAATGAAGGCTATTCTGATTTTAACGAGTGTGTGATAAAGGTAAATGTTATTACCTGTAGATGAGGTAATTTATCTATAATTTGTTCGTACATCAGCAAGTATCTGCACTGTATCAGATAACCTTTCTTATATACGTATTCAATTCATATTTTTTACTAAATGATGTTGTTATATTCCATTTTATTCCATGGTTAATGCAGCTTGAATTTGTCATATATAAATGTCCTGCAGCCAGTTGTAGATTTGTTAGAATCTGACGTCATGTGACTTTAGGTCCATAACATTGAGAAAACTTCCCTGTAATCTTGCTGCCAGTGGGGTATTAGTGATATGTTTCCCTTTCTCAGCCTCATTCTGCTAAACTCTGCAATCTTCAACTACTTGCGGTTCAAACATTAAGTTTTTAAAGCTTATGAAAATATCTTTGCAGAACATCTAAAAGACAGATGTCCACTTATGTTCCTTGATGAAGAACATCTAATCGTCTTGACCTACCCATCATTTTTCTGTTTTCCTTCTCGTCCAACCGCAACCATCCCTTAGTGAACGTCTGTTATTGGAGCCCTGAGGACATTGTAGCTTGGCGACAGACGCTTTCTTGTCCCGCAGTGTATTGGAGTCAGACTTGTAGACCTCAGTGTAGTTGTTTTGGTTGTCTGTGTTGAGGTGGAGGCTTGTCGGGACAGGGGTTTTGTGGTTGGGATACTGCCTGAAATCTGGCTGGACACCCAAGTTGTGGGTTTGAGACAGAGGCTCTCTGTTGGAAGGGAGTCTGGGGTTTTGGGGAATCATACCTGGCTCTCAAGCTGTGGCTTCTCTGAGGCAATTGAAGTTATGCTTTGGAGATTTGATGTACTACATGAAGTCTTAACCTCTTTTTTTTGTCTTCTTTGAATACCATCGTAACCCTCTCAACATTAGTGGAACAAGCTAGAAACATACAGACTGTACAAACATACAAAGACTATATAAAGTTATAGGGAACAGGGTTAGCAAACATGCTCATTTAGCAACATTAGCGTCAATTAGGAATCCTGTTTCTGGCCAAACTATGACTTTATGTTTAAAATGTGCGTTCTTTCCCAATGAAAAAAGTCAAACCTTCTGAATCTAACAATCTCATAATTTCAAACCATTTTATCAAAATCTAATTTGACCTTTTTTTTCCTCTTGGATTGTTTCCTCTCCCATAGTATTGTTTTTTTTTTGTTGGATACTTTTAGAGACCTAAAAGCATTAAAAACATCCAGTCTTTCACGACAAAATTTGCAACCCTCAAGATTTATTCTGGTCTCCCTTTAGGTATTCTTGGGGAGGTTTTTATTAACATACATGACAGCTCTTGTGAAGGATATATGGCAGTTCAATGTGAAGCTTCTTGCCTGCAGTGTATTTCTAGCACATACAGTTCGATGCTTCTGAGCATACATATGTCATCACAGTGGCAACTTGCCAGTGTTTCATGAACGTTTCCCACTGTCTTGTGGGTCAACCCATTCAGGGTAACATGTAGAGCAACACGTTCCACTGCCTGGATTCAGGATTGGATTTGGCACCACTGCAACAAAAATATGCAACCAGATCCACCCAAGACATATCATCCATGTGCGTGTGTTAGTTTGTGAGTATTCTTGCATTGACTGGACAGCGCAGCATCTGTAAGCTCTCTGTTCTTTCTCACCCTCCATGGAAACAGGCCTTCATTATTCCTTCTGATTTATCCCGACCGTGTCTTGGAGGAGCCTCCAGGAATGCTGTTGCAGTGGTTTGCGCTGTTCGATGGGGCTGTCGGGTTGGAAGACTCAGGCGAGGGTTTGGCAGTGAATGGTACAGGCCAGGAGAGGAATTATGGGAAGTGGTTGGACAAGGACAGGATCACGCAAGAAGTTTGAATGTTCCTCATGTAAATAACAATGCTGGAGAGTTATTTTGCTTTGCTTTGGCTTTAGTTTCTAGAATGCTGTTTATGTGTTTGTGTTTTTTAAAAATGTGGTCCTGTTTGACGTGCCATACTGCTGCAATTCAAGCTTTGCCACAAGACAAATTTGTGATGGGAAACTACGGTTCTCTAGCATAATGCAAGATGGGATCAAGCTAGGGAAAATCTGACATTTTAGTTTGGGTATTTCTATTTCATCCAGCACCTGAGGGTTCAGGTTGGGAACTTGTAGACCGCAACTGTTTCTGTCTGCTACCACCAAACTACAGGACATTTGCAAGTTTTTGAAATAAGAAAATCAAGAAAATCGCACAACCTCTTCACTTATCGCTGCTCTCAGCTGGAGATGAACAAAATACAATCAGGCTTTAGAACTTCCTGTATTTGTAGATCTTCACCAACCTTGGAACAGGACAAGGGTTGAAACAAATGACTAGGAAGTGAGTCACAGTTGCAGTCCAAGAACAATGTTAAAGGGTTTTTGTGTGTTCTTGTTCAAGATTTCAACAGTTTCTTCTTTGGGAATACACATCTTATAGTTCTTATCCATTCTTGCCATTCTCTGCTGTTGGGACGAGCCAGATGGAAGGCTTATGGATGGTTTAACATCAATATTTAATATATAATATATTTAATATTTAACATCAATATTTATTGTAATAATGAAAAGAAAACGTTGAAAACTTTTTCCAAAGACTCTTAATCCAAGGTGTATGTTTTCACTTTC